GCAACCTCCCCATCGACCCTGCCTTGAGTATGACAGGGGGTGGTGCCCCCAACCCCCCAATCGGCCCTGCTCTGAGCCTGACCAGGGGCTGCACTTAGGGATTAGGCCTGCCCTCTGCCACCCGGGAGCAGGCCTAAGCCAGCAGGTCGTTATATGCCGAGGGGTCCCAGACTGCGAGAGGGCACAGGCCGGGCTGGGGGACCCCCCTCCCCCCGCCCCCCGAGTGCACAAATTTTTGTGCACCTGGCCTCTAGTACAGATTATATTTAAAGTCATAGGACTGGGTAAAATAATCTAGATAAAGAATACAGAGAGGAAAAGATAAAGATTGTGTCATAGGGCATTCCATCTTTCAGAGGTCAGAACGAAAGAAAAAAAAAAGCAAACAGACAAAAATAAAAACTGAAAAAATAAACCAGGAGAGTCTGAAATACCAAAAGATAAGAAACTGCCTCAGTGGTTGAGCATCAATCTATGAACCAGGAGGTCACGGTTCAATCCCTAGTCAAGGCACATGCCCAGGTTGCAGGTGCGGGCTCGAACCCCAGTGTGGGGTGTGCAGGAGGCATCCAATCAATGATTCTCTCTCTCCTTCTCCCTTCCTCTCTGAAATAAATAAAAACATACTTTAAAAAAAGAAGGAATAATCAATTGGGTCAAATATTGCTCATTTATAATTCTATCTATCATCTCTTAAGATAATATGAAACTTAAGAATGGTGAATAGATTAAGAGCTTTTAAGAAAAATGTAAGCCTAATTCCTTAAATCACATTCAACTTTAAGTTTTCAAGTTGATGGAAAGTTCACAAATTTCAAGGGCCCAGAAATATTTCAATCAACATTTTTTCTTGTTATTTTCATTTTGTGTTAAGAGAAATGACACAATCCAAACTTCTAAAAATTATCAGAGTACTTTGATCCAGAGAAAATCTACTCATACCTCTGCCAGTCTGTATGGTAAAATAAGCTTTTCTCCCACTGTCACAGTCTTCCTCATAATTAATGCTTCAAATAGCATCTCTTCTTTAACCTGTACAACAGAAAAGTAAGTTCAATATATAAGATTCATAACAATGGTTTGAATTATTTATTGAAAAGCCATATAGAAAAAAAATTAAGATTAGCAAATAGTAGACAACAGAGTAAAAGAAAGACAATACACTGGAAAATTTTAAATATTGGCCAAAGTGAAATGTAAGTGTCCTACCTTGCGGGTTCTGCTCAGTGGTTGAGCGTTGACCCATGCACCAGGAAGTCGAAGGTTCAATTCCCAGTCAGGGCACATGCCCGGTTTCGGGCTCAATCCCCAGTAGGGGGCATGCAGGAGGCAGCAATGTTTTTCTCTCCTCCATGTTTCTATCTCTCTCTCCCTCTCCCTTCCAGTTAGGGCAATCAATTTTATTTTAAAATGTTTTTAAACATGTGTCCCATAGACTCCACTCCCAGACCTCCAAAAAAAAAGAAATCAAAGGGGTCTTTTTAAATTAAAGTTTTCATTCTGATCATAATGGAGAAACATGTTTTATTGTGCAGAATATGGAAAATATAAAATAGTATAAACAACATTTTAAGACGATCAACCATAATCTCCTAACCTGGAGAAAAGGACTGAACAGTAACAACACTTCTTGAGTTCCAGGAACATTGCAATGGGTAATAATTTATGTTTCAGTTGTTTATTTTTATTTACAGATGATAAACTTTAAGATAAAGTTCATGCTTCCTTTGTTCTCACTCTCTAGAGGCCAATACTATCATAAATTTGCTATGTATCATTTCAGTTTATTTATGTATACATACAGTACATATTAGATGTTTTCATAAACATTATCTTATACTGTCAAGTGAATTTAACTTTTATCTGTATATCATATTCCCATTTATTTTTGAGATATAACTCTTGATAATTTAGATTAAGCTTGTTCATTTTAAATGCTATATAGCACAAAACTATATCAATTACCACAATGTGATCCATTCTACTTTTAGGCACTAACACCACTTATATTTTTGCTCTATTAGAAAATAAACTGCAGTAAATATTCCTGCATATGCTTTCAAGAATTTCTCTGAAGTACATACCTAAAAGTGAAATTACCAGGTTGTAGTGTACACATTTTCAGCTTTATAGGATATTGCCAAACTCCTGTACACAGTTTTTACCAACCTGCTCTCTCAGCAGCAGCACTGAGAGTTTCCTATTTCTTCAAACCTTGACTATACCTGGTATTATCAGACTTTTTACTTTTACCACACTGATGAGCATGAAATGGTAAAACAGGGAATTTTATAAAGCATCCATACATAATATGGAATTTTCATAAAATTTTATGTAGATAATATAAAATACATAAAGCAAAATAGATTAGACTACAAGGAGAAATGAGTTATAAAAACAAGAGAATACGATATTACCCTGACACCAGCAATTCATGACAGATCAATCATTTTATTAAAATATGATTGCACCATAAAGAAAATATACCTTCTTTTGCCCTAGCCAGTTTGGCTCAGTGGATAGAGCATCGACCTGCGGACCAAAGGGTCCCAGATTCAATTCCAGTCAAGGGCACGTACCTTGGTTGTAAGCTCCTCCCCAGCCTGGGTAGGGGCTCGTGCAGGAGGCAACCAATCGCTGTGTTTCTCACACACTGATGTTACTCTGTCTTTCCCTCTCTCTTCTACTCTCCCTAAAAATCAATGGGAAAATAGCCTCAAGTGAGGATTAACCAAAAAAAAAGGAAAGAAAATTTACCTTCTTTTGAAAAATATACCTTCTATTGCCCAATCCTCAAATTTCAAAAAGTAAAAACAATTTGAGGCACATTACTTTCACAAAATACAGTAAAACTAAAAATGAACAAAGATTAAATATAAAACCATATCCTTTCAGATATATTTAAAATATTTTTATAAACCAAAATAAATAGCAGATTACAAAAACACAATAAAACTAAGAAAACACATGTGATTTTAAAAAACCAGCATTATGCCCCAGCTGGTTTGGCTCAGTGGATAGAGTGTCGGCCTGTGGACTGAAGGGTCCTGGGCTTGATTCCAATCAAGGAAACATGCCTGGTTGAGAGCTCAATCCCCAGTAGGGGGCGGGTAGGAGGCAAACAATCAATGATTCTCTCTCATCATTGATGTTTCTATCTCTCTCTCCTTCTCCCTTCCTCTCTGAAATCAATAAAAATATATTTAAATAAATAAATACATACATACATACATACATACATACAATAAAAGAAAAAAAACCAGTGTTATACTGTGAGGTGTATTTCTAAATTTCAGCAATTATTATTAAAAATGAAAAAAACATTTAAAAATAAAAGATCTATGCAGTATGGTCAAGAAATTTTTCTAAAGGAATGAGCAAATGTAAGCTGGCAAAAACATGGAGCAACGGTTATTTCCATATACTTGTATAAACTGGTACAACCCCTGTAGAAAGTCATTTGTCAATATCAGTAACCTCAATATGTGTATATACCTTAACACAAAAGTCTACTCCTTAAACTATACTCTAGAACAGCAATTTTCAACCACTGTGCCTCAAGAATTTTTAAAACATGCAATACCTAACTATTTAGTCAGGGGCACTGACCTCTTTTCCCTTAGACTTTCAAATAAAAAAAATGACAGCAGTCAACACAATAGCCATCCAATATGAATGAAGCAAAATTATACCTATTTTTTGTCAGATCAACAAAAAATATATATTTGGTGTGCCAGAGTTTTAGTAATTAGTTTATGTGTGTCATGAGATTTTAAAAAGGTTGAAAATCATTGTCCTGTGAATAATGCTCACACATGCTAACAGCAGGCATGTACAAGAATGTCTATCGTAATCTACACTAATAAAAGAGAAACATGGTAATTGGCGTACGACCGCTACCCTTTTCATTGGCTAATCAGTGAGTATATGCAAATTAACTGTCAGCCAAGATGGCGGCCGGCAGCCAGGCACTGAAGCGAGCAGGGAGGCTTGCTTGCTGCAGACTCCAACGTTCCCCGCCTCACTTGCCGGCCTCTCAGCTGCAAGTCTAAGCAACTAT